CTCGAGTGGGCGGAGGGGGACTTGGTCCCGGCTGGACACCCCGGGTCTCTGGGGCCCGAGCAAAGTTAGCAAGGGGATACAGGTGTAGGGTGTGGTGTGGGTCGGGGCCGTTCTGGGGTGCCAGCCGGAGGAGCGTACAGCTGGACCCCTCCTAGATCTCCTTGGGCTCTGAGCCGGGCGAATTTGGAGGCTGGACTCTTGGGGGCGCCTGCGGACGACCCCAGGTGCTGTGAGCGCTTAGGGGGGCGTGTCCAGGTCCTCGGGGGTGAGGCTGGGGACCTCCTCCCCTACAGGACCCTTGCAGCCTGAGGACCCAGGCTCCCCGGGGTTGTTGGAAAGGGTGGAGGTCGCCTCCTCCCCCACCTCGGGTAGTTCCGGCCTCCGCGGTTCCTTCCGCCCAGCCTGCACTGATAACAGTGGGCATGACTCTGGCCAGGGCGGGGCCACCGTATTCCTTCTGCAAACTCCAGGCGGGGTGGACTGTGACTGGAACCCCCAGCACTGCAGTTTAATGGGGAGATGGGGAAAACCAGGGATTCCATTTTACAGAGGAGGAAACTAAGGCCGGAGCGGGGGGGGGGGGCAGAGCTGGGAACAGGGAGGGGTCCTGATGAAGGTGCTGTGGGTGTGGCAGGACTGGGGAGGTAGCGGGGGGAGGGGGCACGCTTTGCACTTAGCCCTGCATCTCAGACGCATCCATGGAGCGGACACTTCCGCCTCTAAGCACCCTAGCAGCAGGCAGGCGCCCAGGGTGTGTGGGTGTTACCCGTCCTCACAGAACTTCAGTTTTCTTTATGAATGGGGGGTGGTGGTGCCAGGAGCCACCTCCCAGGGTTGAGGGGAGGGCTGACAGAGTTAAGCCAGTTCCGAAGCCAAGGACGTGGTGAGACCAAGAGACCAGGAGTTCTCCCCCTCTCTTCTCTGCAGAGATTCTGAGTGGTGTCATTCGGAGCGTGAAGAAGGATGGGGAGTGGAAGGTAGGGGTGAGGGGCCTGGGCACGCCCCCTGGGTACTCAGAGGCAGCCCCTTGTCTGGTCCCTTACGAAGGACCCTGAATGTGGGACCCCTGTGAATCCCCTGGGGAGGCCGTTGTTTGGAAAGGGCTGGGGGAGAGGAGGGGAATCGGGTGGGCGGGCCCTGGATTTGGGCCCAGCCAGCCCTTGAGACCGTTGGTTCTGCCCTCTGCCTCCCTCCTGCCTGTCTGTCCACCCGTCCACCTCCGGGCAGGTGCTCATCATGGACCACCCAAGCATGCGCATCTTGTCTTCCTGTTGCAAAATGTCAGACATCCTGGCTGAGGGCATCACCAGTGAGTGGACCCTGAATGTGGGAGCCCCCGGGGGTGCAGCCCTTGAGTGAGCCCAGGATCCACTCCAGTTGTCCAGAAAGCCCACGTACCACGTACGCGGCTCTGCCTGCACGGACAGCTGGAGCTTGTGAGCGAGTGTGGGGGCCCCTGGCTGTGCAGCCCCTGTGGGTGGACTCTGAATGAGACCCCCTGGAGTGCCACCCAGGATATGGCTGTGCAGACCCCTGCCCACGTAGCTCTCAGCTAGATGACCCCTAGGTTATACCTCCTATTCGGGAACCTCAGGGAGCACAGCCCCTCTAAGTATCAGATCCCCAAGCCTGAGACTCCCTACGCACCCCTGCCCCATGCCGCCCATGTGTCCCTTCCTGTCTCTCCTAGTTGTTGAGGACATCAGCAAGCGGAGAGAACCCATCCCCAGCCTGGAGGCCATTTATTTGTTGAGCCCCACGGAGAAGGTGCCCGTACCACACGAGGGAGCGTGTGCATGTAGGAGTGCACGTGTGTGTGCATGCATTGGCACGTAGGGCGCACGCACTGGTTTGCAGATTGCATGTGTTGGCATGCAGGTTGCCTGTGTTGGGTGCATGCACTGGCGTGCGTGTGCACACATCTGTGTGAGTGTGTGTGTGCCCCTGTGCATGAATGAGTAGTAGCTGGGAGGCCCTGGCAGAGAGACATGTCTCAGGGCCAGGCCTGAAGCGTGGTCTCCATTCTGCAGTCGGTTCAGGCCTTGATCGCAGACTTCCGGGGGACCCCAACCTTCACTTACAAAGCAGCACACATCTTCTTCACCGACAGTGAGTGGGGAGAGACGGGGGCGCGGGGGCCTGGGAAGAGAGGGTACAGCGGGCTGCTCTAGTCTGACGCCCCCTCCCTGCTTGCCCACCCCAGCCTGCCCCGAGCCCCTGTTCAGTGAGCTGGGCCGCTCTCGCCTGGCAAAGGTGGTGAAGACGTTGAAAGAGATCCACCTGGCCTTTCTCCCCTACGAGGCCCAGGTACAGCCCAAGCCGGTCCCCCGTAGGGGTGGGGTTGGTGACCGAGTGTCCCAGGCTCCCGAATCACGGATTTGAGCACAAGGAGATGGTCACCCATGCTGAGGCAGGAAGGGAAGGAGCCCACAT